GAAAATGTCAAAGGAAGTAGAACGGCTGAAGCAATTAATTCCTGAAAGTTTTGTTCCTATGTCAGATTACGAAGATCAAACTAGATGGACTGCAAGTGGCAATGGTGTTTTTTCTACTAAATCAGCTTTGAAGGCAATCAGATGTAGAAACCCAACTGTGGAATGGTACAAATTGGTTTGGGGTAAAAATCATATACCAAGATGCTCCTTTATCTGATGGCTACTTTGCAAAAGAAGATTGGCAACAGTGGACAGATTGAGGAAGTGGGGCTTGAAGGTGGAATCAACAACTTGTGTTTTTTGTGCAACAATTGAAGAAAGTATGGATCACCTATTCTTTGATTGCACAGCTACTCAAAGAATTTGGCAAAATGTGCAAAACATGTGTGGTGTATTTAGAAGTAAACTCTCTTGGGATTGTGAAATCGCTTGGCTTGCTCATTACTGGTCAAAGGATTCATTCTGCAATCAATTAGGAGGACGGCTTCAGCAGTAATAGTGTGTACCATTTGGAGAGTTCGAAATGAAATTAGATTCTATTAAAAGCAAAGATCGGACGTGGATATTCTTGATGCCATTATTAACACAGTCCATTATGCAGCCGTTTCTTGGGATAGGATCCTAAGACTAAGGAGAATTGGAGGATGTTGGTGGAGTGTGGGATCCCTACCAAAATTTTGATAGAGCATGTATTTGTGGAGTTCCAAGAATATACTGTAGGGAGGAGTGTAATAGTTATGTTAAGAGGATCTGTGTGTAATCTGATTTCCTGATATTAATAAAATATACGATTTACACAAAAAAAAAAAAAAAAAAGACACACATCAAAAACTGTAACTCCAATTAGGTACCAGCTAGACTGAATGTTCACTAATGATTTAGCCCTTTCAAGGGCTTCATCATCTTGGCAACTGACAATATCGTGTCCATATTCCGAGTTTATAAAACAGCCTTTGGGAATATACTCTGGTGTGTAAAGCATGACTCCCATGACTATCATCCAAACTCCTTGAAACAAGACGCCAAGAGACCTTACGAAATTATTCAAGAAACTCTTTGGGTAACCTATGCCTAAAAGGGTAGTGAAAAAAAAAGACAAGTATGACAATTTGGTGAAACCAGTGGGACTGCCCTTCCACACCCATGTGATCAGTCGAGTGGAAATGGAAGAGGAGAAATTGTTGGCCCAAAGAAATGGCTCCTATCATTAGAGTTAGGCCATATTGAGCTGGGGGCTGGATTTTGTCAAGAATGAAGGAGAAAAGTGCATAGATAAAGAGAGACAAGGCTATGTTTGTGTGCTCAAAGTTGCAAGGATGGTCCGATGGGATGGTGCCATCAGAATCCAATGGTTGGTGCCTGGCAGGACCAACGAATAGTTCCATAAATATATAGGCAACGCAGCTTCCCATCAGGAAGAAAAGTTCCAAGTACCTAATTTTTGAAGTTGGAAACCATGGCAAAGATATGTAGGATTTTGGATGGAGAAAGTGAAGCCTAATATGATTAACTAAATGCCAGAGCCCAAACAGAAAGAAGCCTAATCAAGTGATCACATGTCCCACCAAACTGCCCATTGCTAGTGCCTTGTGTTTTGCTTGCTTGATTTGTATGTTTTGTTTTAGGAAATAAGGGTGCAAGGAGGTTACAGGGAAACCAGATTTCTATGTATTCAAAGTATGTTTACCATACTACATTATGAGCCTATATATAGGCTTACATACAAATTAAAATAAGAAAATTAGGTAATACGAGAAACCTCTTGCTAATCATGACAATCAAGTCAAATTTAATATGGATTAAAAATTTTACAGAAACAAATCAGATCAAATATTTATAATCTATAGGTAGGCTATTTTATTTTATGCTCTAACAGCACAAGATATATAAGAAGTGACCTTGATCACTCCTTCCACTAAAGGTTATTCTTTTTCGCACTATTCTTTGTGCCTGCACACAAATGGAAAAGAAAATAGAAAATAGAAAAGAAGCACTATACAAGCAGATATTAATTTTAAGCTCAAAAAATTCTCTCCCCCAGGTGGCAACGTGGCTGAACAGAATTTAATCATTTCTAGATCACAATTAGGCATTTCGATATGTCTTACCACATTGAGAGCTTATGCACTGTTAGAGATTCAGGCACTCAACAAGTTAAATGAAGATTTTTTGATCAGTTGATTCTTTGACTTAATGGCTCAATATATGTTAAGGTGATCAATTAGGTGGGAAGAATGGACAACGAGATGCTTCATATTTTACCCCGCTGACCATAGATTTGGCTTCGCCACTGCTACTGGCTAATGGTTGGAAAGCTAGATATGTTGAATACATTCTTTGCTAATTGTAGTATCTATCAGTCTCAGTATTTAATTACGAAAGGGAATAATTCAGTTTGAGGAACAACCAAATTCAGCAATCAAACGAAATTTTTTGTTGGGCGCTTTCATGATTTATTGAGCTTACCGACTTTCTCTTTCAAGTAACATTCGTTTTGGTTGGTATCAATGCAAAATCAAGTAATCATCATACGCAACCAACTGAATAACACCCTTAAGCGGGATTACCTTTGAGATGTCCTTCAAAATTTTCAAAGTTTCAGGAACAGGAAAATAGAAATGTTGTTTTAGAGTTTTGGCACAGCTTGTGTGATTGAAGAACGTTAAAATATGGTATGCTCCTTTAACAAAATTGAATATGGAGTCGCACAATTATTAAGAGTACTACGTATTCTTTGGGATGGTTTAAGGGTGAATTCAAACTTGCACTGTTAGGCACCGTTTGGATTGAGGGAATTGGAGGGAAAGCAAAGGAGAAGAATTGGAGGGATTTGATTTTTGTTGTTTGGTTTGACTTTGAGGAGAGAAAGGAAAGGATAAGAGCGAAAGACTCTAGTTATTTTATTGAGTTAGTTTCCACCCAAAAATGGGCAAAAACGGAGGAGATGAAACTAAATCAATTAAAATAATTAAAACTTTTTAAACGATAGTTTATTTTTTATCTTTTCCAGTGAATTAACACTTGCATGTCCACTTTGTGTTATCTGTTTCGGTTGCAACAGTTTTACTATTAGCTACATATTGTTATATTCATGGAAATTTTTTTATTGATTTTTTTTAAAAGTGAGATGTCTTGAAGACAATCCCTCACATCTTACCGCTCAACCCAATTCTCTCCTGTTATACTCTTGAAAATTGACCTTACAGTATCTAGTTAATCTCTCTATCAATTAAACTGAATTTTGGGACAAAATATTTAGGGTGAAAACAATGAGATAAGAAGAGCCCGATTTTTTTTTTATGGGAATATTCTAAACTTTACAAGAGTGAAGGGAAAAGAGGAGGAATTGTCGGATCAAGAATTTTACAGATCATCTGACTAATGTCCCTACTAGTTAAATTGGATCTTAAGGATTCTGCGTGTGTGTGTGTCTATATATATATATATATATATATATATATATATATGCATGCGTGTCTATACACACACTACTGTATATTCCTGTAAATTATGCAAATTGACACGCAACAACTAAAAATGTAAATAACGTGATTTATATTAATTAATTAAGATTGGTTTAATTTTTAATAGATAATTGATATATTCTTTAACAATGTGGGTATAATACTGTATGATGTTGGAAGAAAAGTAATCTTAAACGTTGTATGATATGCTATGACATACAGCACTGGGAGAGCTAGAAAAACTTTTCAGTGGGAATGCAAATTAAAATAAATTCTTTTAGTTCTATAAATAAAAGCGAATAATATTTTGTAATAAGTTATTAGCCAATTTTTGTATGTTGTTTTCTAAATACATTTCCAGCCATTTTTTACTCTTGAACTGACTTTTTCATCTTATTTATTAATCCATCTTCAAGGTTTCCCACTTTACAAAGCAGACTTAAGAAAAAAGATCATTTTCAATTACGTTACCCAGAGAAACCGATGCCACAAGGCAAGAAAGGCAAGAAATTGCTTTCCCCGTCCCCATGGAAGACAGTAGCATCACTTCACAAAAATCTTATCAGTGAAGAATACAAAAAAGATGCATCAAATGATATTCAAACAGAAAGAAATAAACAGTGACTACAAATGTATTTAATAAATAATATAAGAGGATATTCGAGAACTAAACTGTTTAGGGCATTAGACTTGTAATAATCATTAAAACGATGATTCAAGTCTACTATTTGTTTGTTTGATTAAGAACTGTTATTAAGTTACTTAAAAATGCATATGTAAATTTTATTTATATAAAATTATTAGGTGTAAATACAAAATTTTTGTAAATTTGAACACCTAAATTAAAAGTTTTTCCTTTAGGCCCTATTTGATAACTCAATTTAATATTTAAAATTAATGAATTCAGATCTTAACATATTTTAACTATTTGATAACAAAAATTGAACATCTGAATTAATTAAGTGGCGCTTAATTTGTTAGGTAAGACTTGCTTCTAAAATTAAATAATAAGTTATTCACTTATCATTAAATGTGACATATATTTAAATATACTAAATTTAATACTTAACAATTCAATAATTTAATGGATTCAAATTTCAGATTTCAAACTTCAATTTTCAGATTTCATTTTTATCAAAGGCACCGTTAGTTTGTGGAGGCACATTTATAAATTAATAGAATACATTTAATATTTTTCTAAAAAATCTATGTCTAATGTTGAAAATTTCATTTGTCGAGTGGGGCACAGGACAATGGAGCTATCACCGGAGAATAAATCAAACAGCTCCGCCCCGCCCTGTCTCCCATATGATATCTCGGAGTAATAATATTGTCTGATGATGGAAGAAAAAAGATGAAGAACGCCCTGAGCCTTTTCACACACAAAGAAATAGTAAGCAAGCAAGCCCTGAAACAACGAAAATAGCTTCCCGTTGCACACAGTAGAAAGAGAATCAGATGAGGATGAATTTTCCAGCAACAACTATTTGTGCTGGGAGTTTCTTCAAAGATTAACGAACTTGACATGCAAGATTATTGGAATAGCAAATCGAAACAGCTTATTATTGATAATCAGCAGTAAATGACAAGGTAAAGGGAACAGCAGACTTGCAGAGACAGATGAATTTGGAACGGCTGAAACCTCAGGCAGGCCGGTTGGCCGGCTCGAACTAACCGTCTGGCCGCTCTTTTCTTAACTCGAATAGCGAAGAATTTTTCGGGCTGACATGAGTTCTTGACCTTGACTACCAGTACTGTTGAAGCTTAGAAATGATGAGGCATCTCTGAAAATTTTGCCGTCTGACAAAATAGGAAGACTGAAACGGCGGCAATCATAGATTTGGCAAAATGATTGGAAGAGAAGCAGCAGCACGATCAATGCTGGGACGAGTGGCTTCAAGAGATTAAAGAAAGGAACAATACGATTCTTTATCCAGATGCAGGTCTTCACAAAAGGGTTATTACTGAATTGTTCTCGGAGAGCATTGCCAAATTCATCAGCTGTAGACATTTCATTCTTGTCACCTCCGTTAGCGATGATGGATTTCCTCAAGTTAGCGAAGAGGCAGACGACTTCATCATTTTCCATTTCCCCTTTGACAATCTGAGCATTCCTTAGAATCTTCACGTCCTTCTCACCTCTTATCAATCCAGACAGGAGATAAATAAAATATTGAAATACTGACGAAAGATCGGGTGCTGAAGCTTCGAATGCCAATAGATTTCTTAACATCACCTCTGAATTTTTACCCAGTTTCAAGGTTGGGAGGAAGAATACATTCTCGGTGACATCATATACAGTACCTTGGATACCAGATGCCGGCAAAAGGCAAGTAAACGTTGTTTCACAAACGTCATGCAGTTGTGACACCGATGGAAGTAAGTTCCCTTGCAGCTTATCTTGATCAATACTAGTATTAGGACTTAAAATTTTCCGAGCATTTTCAGCCGTCGTGAGAATCAAGCCAACTTTTCCTGGCTCCTGAAGACCCACAGATTTCGAGCTTTTAAACACGGCCAACAATTCATCTACCCCCAGCTTAATAGTCTCTGTTAGCCTAGACAGAACATGTTGCGTGACTGCCCATATATGCTGTGCAGCTTTCACTTTGCCATCATAAGCCCGCTTGTATGTTGTAATGATATCACTGATTTTGATCAGAGTTAACTGGAGGTAGGGAAAAGTGACCGAGAGAATTGGGAAGGGAAGAAACAGAGAGGGAAGGTATATTGAAAGGGATTGAGAAAACTGAACTCGTTCTGTTTGATAGCGTGCCCCATCCGTCCTCTTTTAGGCTTATTTATACAAGCTTCTTCCTCTAGATCCTTCTGCGTTCTAACCTCCTAACTGAATGAGCATGCATGCAAGCATGCTATTTTTGGATGTCTAACAGAGTAACTAACTTCTGGATCGCTAACTAACTTCCTAATAAGGAAAGCATAGCAGATACATTTCTGCTAAAAGTATTTATAATATCTAGGGTCATTACAATACCTTCCCCTTAAGAATCCTAGTCACTAGGATTGAGCTGAAAATTTGGAAACTGTGATTGTATCACCGTGACATCCTCCCAAGTTGAGTCTTCAGTGCCTAGGTTCATCCACTTGATCAGCACTTGAGTCATCTTCTGTTTTTTTCTTATGATTTCACGAGTGGCCAGTACACTTTCTGGTGCAATCTTGATCTGTCCCTCAGCCGTAGTCAAAGGTAACTCCTGAGTTATAACATGATTCTTTGCAGATGGTTTGAGCAAGGAAACATGGAAGGTAGGATGTATCGCAGAGCCAGCCGGTAACTCTAGTTTGTAGGCTGCATTTCCAACTTTTTGAAGGACCTTATATGGCCCATAATACTTGGAAGATAACTTCAGATTCTTCCTGATTGCTACCGAAGTTTGTCTGTAAGGCTGCAATTTCAAGTATACCCAATCACCAACCTGGAAATTCCTTTCAATTCTGCCCTTATCCGCGAACTGCTTCATACGATTCTGAGCCCTGATGAGATTTCCCCTCAGCAATTCATTCCATTTCCTCCTATCTCCCAACCACTGTTCCACAGCAGCTACTGGAGTCTCTAAGGCATTCAGGCCCAATTGAGAGGGTGGATAACCGTACAGAGCCTGGAAAGGAGTCATTTTCAAGGCTGTGTGATGGTTGGTGTTGTACCACCATTCAGCAGCTGCTAATAAGAACTTCCATTTATGAGGTTGTTGGAAACATAAACACCTCAAGTATGTCTCAACGCACCTATTCAGCCTCTCCGTCTGCCCATCTGTCTGAGGGTGGTAGGCAGTGGAGTAGTGCAGCTCAGTACCTAGCTTCCCAAATAATTCCTTCCAGAACATGCTAGTAAACAGCCTATCCCTGTCTGATACAATGCTCAGGGGTAACCCATGCAATTTGTAGACATTATCAAAGTACATGTTAGCTACTGACTGTGCTGTATACTTAGGAGGTAATGGTAAGAGGTGGCAGTATTTGGTGAACCTGTCAATGACTACCAGCATTCCTTCATATCCCTGAGACTTGGGCAATCCTTCCACGAAGTCCATTGAAACATGCTGCCATGCCTGCTCGGGTACAGGAAGTGGTTGCAGTAGGCCTGGTGTTTTGCAATGTTCTACCTTGCTTCTTTTAAACACGTCACATTGCTGCACCCAACTTTCTACCTCCTTCTTCATTCCTGGCCAGAAAAATGGCCCTTTCAACCTCTGATAGGTTCCCAGGTTGCCTGAGTGCCCTCCTAGGTGCGAGTCATGAAGGCAAGTTATCAGCTTCTGTCTCAAGCTCCCTGATGCTCCAATGTAAACCCTGCCTTTATACCTGAGTAATCCCCCACTCAAAGAGTAATTGGGAAGAGAGTCAGGTGTAATGGTCAAGGCTTCGGTTAGCTTAGTTACGGCACTATCCCCCTGGTAACTCTCCAGGACTTCAGATAGCCATGCAGGTTTCATGACCGAGAGGCTGTGTGTAGAGCTGTCTTCTTCATAGCTTCTTCTAGACAGTGCATCAGCCACAAGATTTTCCTTACCTCTCTTGTACTGTATTTCATAATCCAGTCCCAGCAACTTAGTAAGCCACTTTTGCTGTAGGGGAGTGGTTATCTTCTGCTCTAGTAGGTACTTTAAGCTCTGGTGATCTGTCTTGATAATGAAATGATTCCCCAACAAATAATGCCTCCACCTGGATACAGCTGTGATAAGGGATAACAACTCCTTCTCATATATTGACAACCCCAAGTTTTTAGGCCCCAAGGCTTGACTGAGATAAGCAATAGGCCTTCCTTGCTGCATGAGTACAGCTCCTATAGCCTTATGACTAGCATCTGTTTCCAGAACAAATGGTAAGGAAAAATTAGGGAGTGCGAGGACAGGTGTGTTACTCATCAGTTGTTTGAGTTTTTGGAAAGCTAGTTCAGTATGTTCACTCCAGTGGAAGTTTACTTTCTTCAGCAACTCCGTAAGTGGCTTGGCAATGAGCCCATAACCTCTCACAAACCTCTTGTAATAGCCTGTGAGTCCCAAAAATCCTCTCAAAGCCTTCACTGATGTAGGTGCAGGCCAGTCCATCATGCTTTTGACTTTTGAGGGGTCAGCCTGTACTCCATTACTACTGATAATGTGTCCCAAATACTCCACTTGGGACTGTCCAAAGAAATCTGAGTGTTTCTAGGACAGTTTTGAGGTGTGAAAGGTGAGTGTTTGGGTCAGGACTATACACAAGGATGTCATCAAAAAATACTAGCACAAATTTTCTCAAGTAAGGTTCGAATACATGGTTCATCAGGCTCTGAAAAGTTGCTGGTGCGTTAGTAAGGCCAAATGGCATGACTGTGAATTCATAAAGTCCAAGGTGAGTTTTGAAGGCTGTTTTTGGAATATCATCTAGGTACATTCTGATTTGATGGTAACCGGCTCTTAGGTCGATCTTAGTGAAGATCTTAGCACCATATAGCTCATCGAGCAAATCATCAATGATTGGTATTGGAAATTTATCTTTGATAGTCAAGTCATTTAATTGTCTGTAATCAACACAGAATCGCCAAGTTCCATCTTTTTTCTTAACTAACAGAACTGGAGATGCAAATGGACTATGGCTGAGCTGAATAATGCCACTACTAATCATGTCTTTTACCTGTTTCTCTATTTCATTTTTCTGGTTGTGAGGATACCTATAAGGTGCTAATTTGAATGGTTTGGCATTGGGTATTAAAGGAATTTGGTGGTCACAATCTCTGGAGGGAGGAAGGGATTTTGGCTCCCCAAATACATCTTTGTAGTCCGCAATTAGAGCATCTAGGGGCTGTTGAAAAGCAATATCCAACTGAGTTACAGAGTGTACCTGAGTTCCACTCATCTTCAGCCCACAGGCATGCTTCCAGATTTTGGTGCTTAGTCCTTCCTTCTCAGCATTATCTTTAGGAAGCTTAAGTACCGCCTCCTTCGACTCTCCTTGTAGCCAGATCCTTTCCCCTTCCTTATCAAATGTCATGTTCAACTGCCTGAAGTCAAAGGTGATGGGGCTGTGTGCAGCCATCCAATCCACTCCTATGATCATATCATAAGGTTCTATGTTAATGATAAACATGTCATGAGTGAATGGTTTACCTTGCATTTCCCAGTTCATGTTTGGAATCATCCTACTACAGGTCAAATACTCCCCATTAGCCACCTTGACCTTGAAGGGCTTGATTGACTGGACCATCTCTGGAAAGAGTTGAGCCACAGTATTTTTGACAAAGCTGTGAGTACTTCCCCCATCCACCAAGATTGACAGGGGGGTTCCTTTGAGCAGCCCCTGCAATTTGATGGTATTGTAAGTCATTTTCCCCGTCAGTGCATGTATTGCCATTTCCACTCCTCTGGCCGACTGAGCCCCTTGGTACTCAATTACCTCCCCTTCCTCCAGATCCTCAGGCCTATCTTCTACTGCGACCATCAAATGAATCTCCTTCTGCTTGCACTGGTGACCTGGACCAAACTTTTCTCCACACTTGTAGCAAAGGTGATGTTCCCTTCGGTACTGCAGCTCTTCTGGTGTGATTTTCTTGAAGTGTTGGGGTGTTTTTTTGACAGACTTGGCAATGACAGGTTTGGTAGGTGCCATAGTTTGCTGAGCAGCAGCCTGCGTGGAGTTTCCCCAACCCATGGCCCTTTGATGAGGTTTGTGCTTCCTGTGGTAGGCTTCAAAGGCATTCTCCTGTAGTCTGGCCAACTCAAAGGCTTTGGACAGTGTCCTAGGGTCGTGAGCTTTCACCATTGATCTCAATTCATCTGGCAATCCACTCAAAAAACAGGAAATGTAGTAGTTTTCTGGAAGGTGTGGGGCTCGAATCATTACCTCTGATAACAGCTCCTCAAATTTTTCTTGATATGCTAGGACTGTGGGAGAGAGTTGCAACTTGTTGAATTCCTCCACTGGATCCATCTGTCCTAAGGTTCCAAACCTTTTACACAGCTCTTCAGAAAACTCCATCCATTCCACCTTGTTACTCCTAGTAGATCTGAATCCTTGATACCACACTGCCGCCTTCTCCTCCAAGTGGAACTCTGCCAACTCCATCCATTGCTCCTTGGAAATGTGCAGAAGCTGGCAATATTTCTGTAGTTTCCTGATCCATTCCCTAGGATTGTTTCCCCTAAATGCTGGAATTTCCAATTTAGGCGTACTAGCGAAGAAGGCACTCCTAGTGTTCCTTTCTCCTTGATCTCTACTCCCCAGGTCGGAGCTTCTGGAGTAACTTCCTTCTGGAGATCCTAATATGCCTTTCTCTTGATTTCCACGGTTTAAGCTGGAGAGCTGCTGCGAGATGGCTGACATGAACGCATCTAGCTTATTGCCCAGCTCAGCACTCACTGCATCCAGCCTCTCCTCCATGCTTTGCTTGTCTGCCGCCAAGGATTCCAGAATTCCGTGAATCTTGCTTTCTTGCCTGCGGAGCTGTTCCTCCATCGTCTTCATCCTTGTTCCATCCGCCATTGTGATATGTCGATCTAAGCTTCCTAGTCCAAGGACCGGAAGCTCTGATACCACTTGTAATGATATCACTGATTTTGATCAGAGTTAACTGGAGGTAGGGAAAAGTGACCGAGAGAATTGGGAAGGGAAGAAACAGAGAGGGAAGGTATATTGAAAGGGATTGAGAAAACTGAACTCGTTCTGTTTGATAGCGTGCCCCATCCGTCCTCTTTTAGGCTTATTTATACAAGCTTCTTCCTCTAGATCCTTCTGCGTTCTAACCTCCTAACTGAATGAGCATGCATGCAAGCATGCTATTTTTGGATGTCTAACAGAGTAACTAACTTCTGGATCGCTAACTAACTTCCTAATAAGGAAAGCATAGCAGATACATTTCTGCTAAAAGTATTTATAATATCTAGGGTCATTACATATGTCTCCTCTTGTAGCTCTTCCAACTCTCTATCTACTCCTAAGCAGATATCGTACACATATTGCAGAATATGATTCCCTCTGGCTTTGAACATTGCATAATCAAGCTCCGAATTCGGGTCATACTCGATTTCAATTGGAGCTATGTCGTAGCATAAGCGACACAATGCTTCTCCAATATCTTTGCCCTGGGGAACAGGATACTTGTATTGGAGGACCTTAGGGATTTCCTCCATCAACAACGTGGGGATTTGGTTCTCCAGCATCACTATATCTCCAAGAAATGATTCATCTGAGGAAGAAGTAGAAGAAGAACAATGATCAGACCGTTTCTCCGAGTAGGCTTGAACGAGATGCAGCAAGAATATGGCGTCGATGATGACAATCCAAGCCAAACTCTCTCGATCCAGATCAATACTTCTGCTGTAACAGGAACGGATCTTTGCTTCAAAAGATATTGGACAATTCTCGACTATCCTAATAAATTCCTCAATGTCTTCGATTTTCAACAAATCTTTCACTGTATCTCGCTTTTTGTTGGTCATCAGTTGGAGATCAGGGCGAAGATGATGATAAGGTCCTAGGCCGACTTTCCGAGGAGCATAAGCGTCCGGCTTTGTGTCCGACAACCTCTTAGGAACCTCAAAAACGCTAGGCCCGATATCAGAGGGATGCCGGTACCGATCCTTTGTCTGTTCAGCCCAGCTCCTATGACTGCCATTGGAAGTGGAACTATTGCTACTGAAATTGGATGACATGTTCTCTCTCTTGGTTGTCAAGTTACTGTTAGCAACATGTATAGATCAAAATTCGGCACTAGTTAAAGAGGAAGTTTTATTATTTATAAGTAAGGTATTAAGTTTTTGCTTATTCTTAAGAAGACCACCACCTCGTTTAATTGTATGCTCGAACATCATGGTTTATAACAAAATTATGGAGAGCATAAACTGTGCTCCTTCTTTTATTTTTTATTTTTTCAATTCCTGAAACCAAAATCCTTTAACAATTCGCTTTGCAAACTAAACCATTTCATGCATCTTATACTATTTTTCTTTGTTGACAAACAATTCATCTATTATTTTTTGGTCAAGTAATTCATCTATTATATTAGTGCAATTTTTAATTCCATGATAATATATTAATGTAGAAACTTCTTTGGATTGGGAAAAGGTAGATTTTATTGTATAATATTGCGGATTAATTACTTAAATAATTTAATTATTAGATATGATTTTTTTAATTATTTACTAGTGAAACAGCAATAATAGACCATTCATATTATATTTTAGTAACACGCAATTTTCTGTACATCTATCTCTACCTCTTCATCTTCTTTTCTTTTTGTTACCACTACGATTTCCATGAAAGTATACAAAACATTACAAGATTTTTACTAGAATACGCATTTGATCCATTGAAATATATTGGGGCTGCAAGTATCCTTGAAAAGATGATAAAGTTTTTCCGAAAACCTAAGCGCTATTGGGCACTTGAGTTTTTTGCCAAGTTTGTCTGTTACAAGTTTTTTAAAAACTTTAGTTACAATAATATAAAAAAAAATTTCAAAGTCTTTAAACTATACACTTCAAAATATTAAAAAATTTACATATTTCAAAATTTTTTTAAAAACTTCTATAATAAATTAGAGTAAAGTTTTATACAAATACTCAAACAACTCACTTGCCAAATGGGACCCTAATTTTTGGATTTAGTGCAGTACTGGTGGCATCGGTGGAATGAAGAAATGACAGCAATTTGTTAACTTTTTTTTCATTTCAATTGCTAAAGACCCGGTTTAATTGAATATAGTATCCTACTTATATAGCGCCAAGCGCTCCTTATCTCAATTAGAGCTTGCCTAACCAAATGTTTTCAAGGTAAATTATGTACAACCCCCTTGTTGTTTTGTATAATGTTAGATGACCCTTTTAAAGTTTTAAATTGCCATATAACCCTTCTGTAGTTTTACGTAAAGTAAAAATGGACGGAATATACAATCAGTTATGGCAATTATACAAAATATGCCCCAAAAATGTGTGTGATGAAATCACAATATCTACCTAACCTCTATATTGTTTTCATAATCATCCACTTTGCCCCCTATGGTCTTTGCATTTATCCACGTAATTCCCGGATGGATTTATATAAGGTGATTAAGTCATTATTTGATTTAGTATTTAAGTATGGGTACTATTGAAATTTTAACTAATGATGTGATGGGGTGTTAATTGTCGGTTATTTTATTATTAATTTTCCCCTTGTCCCTGCCAAATATTGTCTTAATTATTAATATCTATTTATATTTGGTATCTGGACTTAATTTCAGGAAATGAAGCAGAAAATTACAAAAAAGGAGGGACTTTCTGAAGCAAATTACTTCACATGTGGGAGTCTTCTGCAAAGCTCCATCAACGTGGCCCACAAAAGGGAAGAAACGGATATTCATTTGCTCTTGCTGATGAGGAGTGGCTGGTACAAGGAGTCCTACTATCAATAGGAAACAAGGAGGAATTTCGGTAGAGCTCCAATTCTTTGGCTCTTTGACTCTCAATTCTGCGGGGACCACAGGGATAGCATTAGTCATCTTTCTTTTGGCTTTAAAAAGGGACAATCGTGCAGAGGCTTGGGGGGGGGGGGCTTAGTCTTTAGAATAGTTTTAGTCTTTTCTTTCTTTTTCTTTGTTAGGCGCATGCCTACTGTTCGACAATATTCCCCAACGGGAAAAACATCTCTTATTTCTCGTTTCCTAGTGAAAAATTTGATGCCTTTGCAATCAATTGATTTGCATAGAGATTTATTTATGCGGTGTGGCTAAACCTGTCGTCTAGTCGAAGGCCAACTTGAAGGCGCGGTTCCAAATATCTATGAGATCGAATTAATTTTATTTATTTCTTTTATTCATTGGTATTTGTACGTTTCCTGATTTAATTGCTTATGCTTGCTATGTTATTTGAATTTCAAAGGCCCGATATTCGAATTAACCTAGTGATCTAATGCCAAATTAATTGATTGAATCAGTAATTGTTCAATTGATTAATACCAGTGGTGACTAGCGTGATTGGTTTCATGTTAGGGAAACGTATGATCTAACTTAAACAAACCCTTGTAGCATGTTTGTTGGTTAGAGTTGGGCTTTTCTAATTATTAATGCAATCGGGTAATTAAACCCTACGGTTGTACCTAGGGTTATTTCTTGGTTAGAGAAATAGTTAACGGTCATACTTTAACTATCGAGAAATTAAGGAAAGGCTAGTTGTTCATCGCATGTATGATAACTATAACCAATCTAGTAATGAGTAATTGAATTATCTTTGCATCGATGATCAGTTAAATGGACCGTGTCTGAAAAGTTGCACTTTTGGTTAGAGTCGTATTAGTTATTGATTAATTCTTGTTTATTTCTATTAGTTGTTTCAGTAGTTAGTTAATTAGTCATTTTATACCAAAATCCCTCATGCGCTGAATTCTAGAAGAAACGAATTATCCCCAGTGTCTGTGGATTCGACCCTGCTCACCGTTATATACAAAATTTATATTTTTCTTGAGTAGGTAATTATTATTGCACAGGCTCGACACCCTGTCATGATATTACGTAGGTTATTTTTCCTCAAAATTTTACTTTACATAAGATCATAGAGAGATGAAGTGAATATTTTAAAACTTTAAGAGGATCATGTGGCAATAAATGAAATCACAGGAGTTATATGTAATTTACCCATGTTTTTTTTATCTAGGCAGGGTTGTATGTGACATGTAATATGGTATTAATTGCAATTTTAAACCTCTTGTTGTCACTTAGATGACTTTCATATTCTATATTAATTGCAATTTTAAACCTTAAAGGTTGGTATAAGATAGATAGTCAATAAACCATGGATAAAGGCGGGTCCACGTTCTATTTGTCATCATCTCCTCTATCAATTTCTTCCCCTCTATCATTGCTTGGACCTGATTCCGCAGGTTTACCAATTTTGGCCGATCATGGTCTTGAGTAACACTGTGAATTCAGTTCACTCATATTTCTGTATGGTTGGTAATGTATTCATACCTGTCCCTGTGTATGAGCATATCGACAGTGTAACGCATTAATTATTTCAGCAAATCACACCTTTATTTCTCTCTAGACACACTATTATAGCAGGAATAAAATATTGTATCAAAATTGAAATTGAGATGTTAAATGAACACTACGCATGTGAGATGTACCTGTTCTATTTTTATCTGAAATCTTTTGGTAAGATGTCGATGTAGATAATTTTCCCCTCATTTTCTGGTGCATACCTATTTGTTTACTTTTGTTTTTGGAAGAGATCTTTTGAATACTTAGAGGGAGTTTAATAACCCTATTAAGTGCTTAAAATTAATGGACCAAATACTTTTCAATTAAGCTTGTTGGATAACAGTATTTCTCTTACATTTGGATACAATTAAATCCGTTCATTAATTTTTTTTAACAAAATTGCAAGTAAAATAAGCCTTGTATCACGTTCTTTGCTGATTTATTAAATAAAATACCTTTTTTGGATAACGTGCAGAAAAAATTCAAATTTCATCAAGAACCTCAAGCCGGCAAGAATTAATTCTGGCCGCCCTTTTCTCTTAATCAGCTTGAATAGCCTAGAATTTTCTGGCCAGACATGAATTCAGGTTGACTGGTGTTCAAGCTCAGAAACGAAGCATGTCTCCCTTTGAGCAACCATCTGACCAAACAGAAAGATGAAAAAGCTGGCAATCAAAGATTTGGCTAAGCAACAAAAGCAGCACTTCAACAAATCCTGGGTGCTGATACCAAGCGATACAGCATTAATGGAGTTGAACTGCTGATTTTGGAGGAAAACTCCACATCTATAAATATCCAAAAATACATCAAATTGGTAACAACCTTTTCCCTCGACAAAGACATGACATTTCTCTCCTTTTATACAGCTTTCTTAGAAGTCATATACTAGAATTAGGATTTCCAAAGTTTTCTTAGAAGTATTAGGCTAATTTCTGGGATTTCCAAATTTTCATGCAATCATTTTGTTTTTAGTTCATATTTTCAGTAGTTTCATGTCTGTCTTTGTACAAATCAGCAAGACTAGTTTGAATGTTATTTCCATTTCCGAGCAATCTTCATGACTTTTCTAGCATATTTCATGTTTTATAATTCATTAGCTTTAGCCATTGGTCATTGTTTGTGTATTCTTTCCTTCTTAATCAGTTATTCTTGGCACAAATTTTTAAGTCCTTGAGACTGCTCAAGGCAGAATGACTAGCAATTGTCCTAGAAGTTAGCATAATACATGCATTCTCATTTCACCCAATCGGTTCATTCATAAGGTTTTCTTGATTTTCCTTCCACAAACTAGGTGACATGCTAGCGACCATCACTTCATTGGCAACAGCTTGTAGATAGGTAAAAATTGGTGCAAATAGTATCATAACACATTTATTCATATTTTTATTATTTTTTAGCAGGAAAGAGTAAGATTTAAGAAGGAAGGCATAGAAGGATTAAACAGTCAATAATATTTCATTATTATCCCATGAAAAGAAAATAAAGTAAAGATTAAAAGGAAGAGTGAGAAAATGTTGTATACTATTTTTCATAAATTGGAAGGATAAAGTGCAAAAAAAAAATTATTACTATTGTTGGAATTGAGTTTTATCCCACCAAACCCAACAACTATTATCATATAACCATGGAATTCTATGAACCTCTTATATTCGAACATCCAAACAACGTGCAGAGTAGAAAACAAAATGGATGAAAAATGAGTCTACATATCCCAAGAGTACTCAAACCTATGCATAACCACAATATGAACCAATATCCT